GAGTGCAGTGGCACAATCTCGGCTCACTGCAACTTCCGCCTCCTGTTCAAGTGATTCTCCCACCTCAACCTCCCAAGTATCTAGGATTACAGGCACCCGCCATTGTGCCCGGCTAACTTTTGTATTTTTGTAGAGACAGGGTTTCACCATGCTGGCCAGGCTGATCTTGAACTCCTGACTTCAGGTGATCTGCCCGCCTGAGCCTCCCAAAGTGCTGAGATTACAGGCAAGAGCCACTGCGCCTGGCCAGATTTCACTTATGAAGATGACACTACCTATTTAGATGAAAAGTTCGGGAAAACTTCCTTTTAAGTATTGAGTTTCAAAGTAATGTCATACAGGGTTTTTTAAAAAATAATTTAAGAAATGTATTTTGAGAAATCAGTTATTCCTCAAAAAGAAATAACTAAAAATCTAAATAATGATTTAACCCCATTACATTTTCTTGAGAGAATCAAGTCCGTTTTAAAAACCATTCCTGATAGGTTGATAAAGTTTACAAGAGGTATGAGGGATGGCCTGACTTGTAGGCAGGCAGGGAAGGTGATGCGCCAGATGGGAAGCGTGGTGGGGTTGTCGGCTTGGTGAGACACTGTCAGGAAAAATTTGGAAAAGGAGGCTTTTTGCTGGCCTGTGGTAAGATGGGATGAGCTGCTTATTATTAGGGGGTTGGGGGAAGGGGAATTATAAAGGAACACAAGAAAGAAACTATGTGTAATATCTTGAAGAAAGTGAAACAGGTGATACTAGATAAGGACACTGTTTCAAGGAAGTAATTCGGTATAAAGTTATGTAGTTAGTATATTTGGCAAAACCAAGACTAGAACTTTCTTCTCAATTCCTGTTTTAAAATATTTTCAGACACAATCTTGCCACCACTCCTCAGTAGCCCAAGTTTGGTCATTGTTTAATGTTAACATTAGAAAGTACCAGTACCTCAGAGTGGCTCCCTAATTCTTACTAATCAAATGGGGTTGGCTTTTGAAGACATTAGTATTAAAAATAAGATATTAGGTAGAATGAAAAATTAGACATGTTAAAACATAGGTTAGCATTTTCTAAGCTTTTCTTGATACTCTCCTTCAAAATATATTTTGTTGCTTTGTTAAAAGAATTATTTCACTAAATAAACTTAATATACTTTGAATCAGTTAGTGGCTAGGGGGTTTATGTTTTCCTAGTGGTAGTTAGGACCATTGTTCTTTAATGTTTTAATCTTGTGTGTTAGGTATGGTGAACCGTGAAGTACTGGAACAGGTAGATCGAGGATACAGGATGCCCTGCCCTCAGGGCTGTCCAGAATCCCTCCATGACTTGATGAATCAGTGTTGGAAGAAGGACCCTAATGAAAGACCAACATTTGAATATATTCAGTCCTTCTTGGAAGACTACTTCACTGCCACAGAGCCACAGTACCAGCCAGGAGAAAATTTATAATTCAAGTAGCCTATTTTATATGCACAAATCTGCCAAAATGTAAAGAACTTGTGTAGAGTTTCTACAGGAATCAAAAGAAGAAATTCGTCTTTACTCTGCATGTTTTTAGTGGCAAACTGGAATCCCAGATATGGTTGCACAAAACCACTTTTTTTGTTCCCAAGTATTAAACTCTAACGTACCAATGATGAATTTTCCAACCTGTTTCAGGGTCCAAAGAAAATAGAGCTAAGATACTGATGACAGTGTGGGTGATAGCATGGTCATGAAGGACAGCGAGGCTACTGCTTATAAATCATTTTCTTTCTTTTCTTCCCCAAACTCAGAATTGCTCAAAGGAAATTATTGTTACCAATAAAACTTGAGAGATAAAACGCTATACCATAATGAAATCTAAAATTAAGGAATATCATGGGACCAAATAATTCCATTCCAGTTTTTTAAAGTTTCTTGCATTTACTATTCTCAAAAGTTTTTTCTAAGTTAAATAGTCAATATACAGTCTTAATATATGCCTCCTTTTGCATGGACATGGGCCAGGTTTTTCAAAAAGAATATAAACAGGATCTCAGACTTGATTAAATATTAGACCACAGAAGTGGAATTTGAAAGTATAATACAGTATGTTAATATTCATATTCATGAAACTGAAAAGTAGAATAAGAAATTTTTGACTTCAGCCCTTTTCTGAAGAGTTTGCCTTAGAATAATGAAGGTAACTAGAAAGTGAGTTAATCTTGTATGAGGTTGCATTGATTTTTTTTTTAAGGCATTATGTAATTGAAGCTACTATCCAGTGAAAGGGAAATCTTTTAATCTTTAGATAGCATGCAAAGTAAGACCCAGCATTTAAAAAGCCCTTTTTAAAAAACAGACTTGGTACTGGTGAGATATTGCTAACATGTCCTTATGGTGATGGGTGCCACAAATAGAAAATATGACCAGATCAGGGACTTGAATGCACTTTTGCTCATGTTGAATATAGATGAATAGAGAGGAAAATGTATTTAAATGAAATACGAGAAAAGAAAATGTAAAAGTTTTGCAAGTAGAGGGATGGAATTAAATGTTTAATGTTGATGTCATAGAGTGACAAAATGGCTTTGCTGGCACTCAAAGCTCCTCACTTAGCTATGTTCTGAGACTTTGAAGAGAATTATAAGGTGTAACTATAAACTAATTTTTCTTATACACTAAATGGGTGTTATTTGTTCAAAATAGTGAAGTTACAGCTTCACATTAATTCCAGTAGGATATGGCTTTTATGCAAAACATTTTTAGAACTCCAGTTTTCAAATCATGTTTGAATCCACATTCACTTTTAAATGACCACTTACTGGTGGTCATTTTTTTCCCTTTTAGAATATATTAAATAGTTGATTTGGGGAGGAAAACTTATTCTGAATATTAACAGTGGGGGAAAAGGGGACAGTTGTTTTTACCTTAAAGTACAAAAGTGAAACATACAAAATAAGGCTGATTTTTAAGAGTAACTCAAAAAATTCAAAATACAAATTTGAATAGCAGCACTAGTGATTTAAGTGTCTGGCAAAGGAAAAATTGAACCTGATAAATAAAATGAAGGTCTGGTGTGTATGTTTTAAAATACTCTCATATAGTCACACTTTAAATTAAGCCTTATATTAGGTTCCTCTATTTTCAGGATGTAATTCTTAACTATCATTATTTACCTGATTTAAGCATTAAATTTGAAATTCTGTGCCATGGCATATATGTTCAAATTCAAATCATTTTAAAATGTGACAGAGGGACTTCATGCAAGTTGGCAGTGGTTCTGGTACTAAAAATTGTGGTGGTTTTTTCTGTTTACGTAACCTGCTTAGTATTGACTCTACCAAGAGGTCTTCCTAAGAAGAGTGCCGTCGTTATTTCCCCTTGTCAACAACTTGTGACATGAGATTTTTAAAGGGCTTTATGTGAACTATGATATTGTAATTTTTCTAAGCATATTCAGAAGGGTAACAAAATTATGTACTAAATCTGATCAGGAAAGTAAGCCAGGAAAAGTTGATAGTATTCATTAGTTTTTAACTGAATGGAGCAGTTCCTTATATAATAACTTGTATAATAGGGATAAAACACTAACTTAATGTGTATTCATTTTAAATTGTTCTGTATTTTTAAATTGCCAAGAAAAATAAGCAAGTTTGTATATTTGAAGATTTTTTTCCAACAGCTTTTCGTCTTCAATGTCTTAATGTGGAAGTTAACCTTTACCAAAAAAAGAAGTTGGCAAAACAGCCTTCTAGCACACTTTTTTTAATGAATAATGGTAGCCTAAACTTAATATTTTTATAAAGTATTGTAATATTGTTTTGTGGATAATTGAAATAAAAAATTCTCATTGAATGCATCTATCAATCTTTTGAGTTGCTATTCATATTCCCATTAGTTTTTTAAAAATTGGTATATTGTGAATTTCTTCCATTGGAAAAAAAAAAGTTCAGTTACTTATAACTACTGAGCAGAATGTAATCCTTTATTAAATTCAGAACATTATTGAACTTGTTCTTTGTGATCAGTTTTCCATGTCAGATGAGTGACATTATTTTTACAAGTATTTTCTTCTTTTTAAAATTATACCAGCAAGTAATACAGAAACCTAAGTAATGTTGAATGGAGCTATTCACAATCTATGTGAAGAATTTAAAGTACAATGACCCCTTTTATTATAAGTTAAGGGGCCTAATTTTTTAGACAAGAAAAATATATGAGCTTTGCCTTATCTCTGTGTTTTATAATTATTATATAGATATAATGAAAATAAAATTATACTAAATTTTGGTCATTCAAAAGCATTTATTTTCAATAAGATAATAGTGTTAATTACATTTTACTATTATCTAAAATTATTAGCTTTTTCCCTGATTTCTAAAACACTTCATTTAGTAAACATTTATTATTATTGTAGTATAGCAGTAGTTCCTCAATTTAAGAATGTTTTTGGCCAGGCGTGGTAGCTCACAGCTGTAATCCCAGCACTTTGGGAGGCCGAGGCGGGCGGATCATGAGGTCAAGAAATCAAGACCATCCTGGCTAACGTGGTAAAACCCCGTCTTTACTAAACATACAAAAATTAGCTGGGCATGGTGGTGTGTACCTGTAGTCCCAGCTACTCGGGAGGCTGGAGCAGGAGAATCACTTGAACCCGGGAGGCAGAGGTTGCAGTGAGCCAAGATCTTGCCACTGCATTCCACCTTGGCAACAGAGTGAGACTGTCTCAAAAAAAAAAAAAAAAATATGTTGCTCTAGTTTCTTGTCTGCCTTTTAATTTCCTTTTTTATGCTTAGAAGTCATTGTCCACCCCAACATTAATATTCAACTGTGTTACAGTTTATACATTTTTTTTTGAGACAAGGTCTTGCTGTTGCCCAGGTTGAAGTGCAGTGGCACCATCGTGGTTCACTGCAGCCTTGACCTCCCAGGCTCAAGCAGTCCTGACACTTCAGCCTCCCAAGTAGCTGGGAGTACAGCCGCGAGACACCTTGCCTGGCTAATTTTTCATACTTTGTAGAGACAGGGTTTTGCCATGTTGCTTAGGCTGATCTCATAACTCCTGAGCTCAAGTGATCTGCCTGCCTCGGCTTCCCAAAGTGCTGGGGTTACAGGCATGAGCCATTGCGCCCAGCCCTATAGGTTATGTTTTTTAAAAAGCATTTTAATTCATTTGGAAGTTGAATATAAAAGGTGACTTAAGGACCAGGCACGGTGGCTCATGCCTGTAATCCTGGCACTTTGGGAGGCCAAGGTAGGTGAATCACAAGGTCAGGAGTACGAGACCAGCATGGCCAACATGCTGAAACCCCGTCTCTACTGAAAATGTAAAAAAATTAGCTGGGTGTGGTGACAGATACCTGTAATCCCAGCTACTTGGGAGGCTGAGACAGGAGAATCACTTGAGCCCAGGAGGAGGAGGTTGCGGTGAGCAGAGATCATGCCATTGCACTTCAGCCTGCGTGACAGAGCAAGACTGCCTCAAAAAAAAAAAAAAAATTTAGCATGATTTTTTCCCCATATAGGTAATTTTCTCATCACCAATTATTGGTTAATTTATTCCTATTGATTTAGGTTTCCTTTCTTTATTACACATATATCTTACATCTGTTTTGTCCAATTATCTTTCATCAAAGCATTTTGATTACTGTCACTTGATAATGCATTTTAATAATACAGCAAGTTTCCTTCACCATTCCTTTTCTTAAAATTTTAGTGTCCTGACAAATTATTTATTAAGTCTAGCCTTTTTTTTTTTAATATTCCTATATAATTTGCGAGATTTTGGTTGGGATAGCATTATGCTTATAAACTAATTTGGTAAGAATTTGCATCTTCCATCAGGCTTCTCATCCCATTTGTGCAAGTCTTCATTTAGATAAAGTTTTTATCTAAGCTTTCTATGTGGAGTTGGAAGATGAGTCTCATCTTGTGTTTGATTACTCTGCTCAAAGGGTGCCATTCAGTGCTTCTGGAGACCAGATTCCCATTTTGTTACAAAAGAAACCAATAAACATGCAGAGATGAAAAAACAGTGTGCTCCAGTAGCGTTTATTTCCCTAAAATCAACTCCTCCATGTCTTTCAGTATCTCCTTTTTTTGTTTAAACTACATCAAGTTGAGTTGTTGCCACTGACGACTATAGTCCCGATTAATTTTCAAATTGTTAAGCGGGAAAGGAATACTTCTGATTAAGCAATCTCTGCCCAGTGTCATTCGTTTGCCCTCCACATCCAGACTGCCTGCTCCTACCAGAAGGCTGACTTGTACTTATCAGGGGGCTCTCGATTCCTGTTACGGGAGGCCAGTGAGGAGCTCTAGCAGACAGGAGAAAAACAGAGAGGGCAAGGTATTTATTCTCTGGGCTCCCTCCTTGAGAATCTGGGCTGGCTATGTCCTTCAGCTCCTCGCTGTCCAGCTTCCCTCATACACCTTTCTTTTGGAGACTGCTAGCAGCTTCCATTCCATATGTTTTCTGCCTTAAGGTTGATGACAGTTTTGCTGCTACTAATGCTGCATTAATCCTTGTGGTTTCTATCCTGCCCACCTCTTTGTAAATAAATATCCTTGATTTGACACTTTTTTGTTTGTTTTTTAGAGATGGTCTCTGTCGCCCAGGTTGGGGTACAGTGGCAGTGGCATAATCATAGCTCACTGCAGTCTCCAACTCACGGGCTCAAGGGATCCTCCCACCTCAGCCTCCAAAGTAGCTAACTACAGCACAGGCCACCAAGCCTAGCTAATTTTTTTTTTTTTTTTTTTTTTTTATGAGGTCTTGCTATGTTGCCTATGCAGGTCTCAAACTCCTAGGCTCAGCAGTCTTTCCACCTTGGCCTCCCAAAGTGCTGAAATTACCAAGTGTGAGCCACTGTGCCTGGCCTCTTGATTTATCTTAATTCGAGAATGCCAGCTGTTTCCAGTTGGGACCCTGGCTGATACTCATTATGCCAACAGCTGTATCAGAAAATAGGAAACTCAAATTATCACATCAAAGTGACAGTTCATATAAAACATTTTCAGTGCTATGTATACAAAATTGCAGCAATATATTCAATATTAAATGTAAAATTACAAGACTTTTTTTTTTTTTTTTTTTGCTCAGCCTATGGAGAAAATTACAAGACAATTATTAACTGTGGAGCGAGCATACCAAATCTTGAGAATTGGCACCATCTTGGCTCACTGCAACCTGTGCCTCTCAGGTTCGAGCAATTCTCATGTCTCAGCCTCCTGAGTAGCTGGAATTATGGGCGTGCGCCACCACACCCAGCTAATTTTTATATATTTATTAGAGACAGGGTTTCACCCTGTTGGCCAGGCTGGTCTCAAACTCCTGATCTCAAGTGATCCACCCACCTCAGCCTCCCAAAATGCTGGGATTACAGGTGTGAGCCACCACAACCAGCCCAAAACAAATATTTTTTTTTAAGTTTTTCAATGCCTATTTTCCCAATGTTAGTAAACATTTGTTGTTAAAACTGAGAATGTTCAATTCGCTGTTTAACTGCAGTTCAAAAATGAATTTTATTAGTTGAATTTTAAAATGCATAGGAAGGAGGCTGGATGTGGTGGTTTATGCCTGTTATCCCAACACTTTGGGAACCTGGGCCAGAGAATTGCTTGAGCCCAGGAGTTCAAGACCAACCTGGGCAACATGACGAAACCCCATCACTACAAAAATTAGCTAGGCATGGTGGTGCGTGCCTGTGGTCCCAACTACTAAGGATCACGTCACTGCACTCCAATCTGGGCAACAGAGTGAGACCCTGTCTCAAAAAACAAAACAACAAAACTAGAAATGAGACTTAGTAAAACAATAAAAGCTAAATAGATAAAATGTGAAAATTCTCCAGTAGGAGGAATAGCCCCTGGGACCTTTAAGAAACATAGGATATTCAATTTTAAGATGCTTGCACAGTCCTTGTTACCCCAAACCTTCCTTCAAATCAGCTACACACAGCTGTGAGGCAGTGACCTTTAGGGAAGAAAAGGGATTCAGTCACGGCCAGAAGGTATAATGACAAGGTACAAGAAAGGGTAGGGATGGATTTCATAACCTAGTTTAAATGCAGTAGGGAAATAAATTCAGCAAATAAACTAAATCAGGTAAATAGAAAAGTCCAAGTACTTACAGAGATTCTTGGAGAGACACTGGATTTCAAAGGGACATGGGGTAGGGGTTCAATCCAGCTTCACTTCAGTCTTAAAGGTCAAGTAAACTTGAGTAAGTTGGAGGACTTTGACAATCCAAAGTAAAAAATTGTCACTATCCTGTGATAATAGGGGTGAGAGAAATAGAAAGTAAAACCTTGCAGTTGGCCAAAAATGTTGACAGTGATTCTAATAACTGAATTAAAGTGATGTGGCGCCTAAAGTTTATCAGATTCCATTTATTCACACATAATTACCTATTTTCACGGAAAGTCTTAACTCTCCTAAAACATTGAGAGGATATACCATGGAACTAGATGGCAAACTTGGTTTGGTTGGTTTTGTAATTACCATTGCTAGAAAGTTAGAAAAGGGTGGCATCAGTTCAGCAAATTTTGAGAAACTTGTGGAATCAGAAGAAACTCAATCTAAAATACAAGAAAACATTTTTGCAGAGTTTTAAGTGCAATTTCAAAGAAAATTCAAACTTAGAATCAAATTCAAGGAGAAGGCAGCACCCCAAAGCAACATTTTGGTTTTATTGACATATAATTTACATACAACAAAGCTCACCATTTTAAGTGTACCACTAGATGAGTGTTTTACAAATGTATACAGCCATGAAACCACTCCCACAATCATGGAACATTTTCATCAATTCAGAAAGTTCCATTATGCCCTTTTACAGTCAATCTCTTCCATTCACCCCTGACCCCTGGCAACCACTGAGTGTTTTCTGTCACTATAATTGTACATTTCTAGGGCTTTTTATAAATGGAATCATATGTAGTCACTGTGTAATATCTTTCATCCAGCATAATGCTTTTGAGATTCATCTTTTTATGGTTTAGTAA